ACATACTTAATAAATTACATGTTGAATTCGAAATTTTTAAGAACAACAATAAAGAAAGAAATCCGGACCGCTATGAAATGCGTCCGGTCTATCAGGTATACTCGGGTGAAGTGCGATTTACATAATTGAACGAATTAATTATGCTAATAAATTACGACAATCAGTAAATCGTACATTGTTTCATTCTCTCAAAATGGCGTAACTTTACTTAATAAAGAATAATCAAAGAAAAATAAGATGGCAGGGATATTTAAACATATGAATTATGATCCATTATAAATTTTGAAATAATACCGGGAAAAAATAATTAACAAAGGCGAAAGCAATACATAGCCATGTGGGTTGTACGAGAGTTGGTGACGCAAATTGACTGTAAGTTTATAAATTGAGAGAATAATTCTTGTTTAGTATCGTCAGGAATTGGGTCTAGTTTACGTTCATTCTGGTGAAGTCATTTAGTTTGTTAATACCATTAGGGCGGAATGACTTCAATCTGTGCATCCAGAAATTTTCTTTGCTTTTTCTCTGAATCTGTCCATCTTGGGTTATGGTCAATCACCACTACTGTACATATCCTCCCATTTGTGACCCTCAAGGTTGAAATGTTCCCCAACGGGTTCATTGAGTAAGGGTGGTCCTAATGGTCGAACGGTGGTTATTGACTCTCCTGCGGAAATCTCCTGTTTCACCAATATACTGTTTGGAGCAAACTTTGCAACTGATGAGATAAATGCAGTTGTCAATATGACAGGACAAATTCCCTAGTATTTTGTATCTGCGGCTCTGTAACGGGGCTGTTAAAACTGTCTGTGTCAGTACTGTGCTTACAAAGAAGACATCTTCTGTCAAAGTTTTAAAGCCCCCGTTTAATGGGTTGTCCAGTCTGGTTCTTACTAAATGTCCTTCAGGTTCCTTGGGCGTCTGTATGCAGCCAAAAATTTTCCTTCTGCCATTCGTTTGTTTGAATGGAGAATTGGTAGGTTCTTTTGAAGGATACCGCTAAGGTTCTTAAGGACGGGATGGTATGTGGTTACCAAGGGACCCTACCGCTATTGTCTTTCTCCTTGTAGCGTAATAGGTTTTGCCTGTCATGTCCTGCCATCTCATCAATAGCTGTTTGTACGGTGCGGGCATTGTAGCCTCTTTTGCATAAGTGGGACTTAAGAAGACCACTTTGCTCCTGATATAAGGCAGGGGACGAACAATGCAGTCGAATTCTGGTGGCTAGAAGGCACTCCCTTAAAAGTGTGTGGGGGATGACAGCTTCAAGGGCATAAGATATAGGTGGGAGTCTGTGGGTTTGGTGTGGAAAAAAATTCGATTTCACCATCAATCAGGGTAGATGTAGTATCTAGGAATACGTTTTTCGAATTAGATACGTCTACTGTAAATTTGATCGACTGATGAAAGGTGTTGGCAAACGTAATGAATGCCTCGAGGCTCTCGCGACATTCCACCCACTTCATCTCTATATCGTCAATGAAACGCAACCAGCTATGGGGCCTAAAAGGTGCTTGAAGTAACAAGTATGCGTTCCAGTTGCCCATGAAGACATTGGCATAAGACGGTGCCATTTTCGTACCCATAGCAGTGCCATTAACCTGCAGGTAATGTTCTCCATTAAACATGAAGTTGTTGAACTTGAGAACATGTTCAAGGAGCTTAGCAAGGGACTCTGTAGAAGGAATTTGTATGGATGTACTATCCCAGACTTCTCTACAGGCTTCGATACCCTCATCGTGCGGAATATTGGTGTACAAGGATGTGACGTCCATAGTCACGAGGAGGGTATGATCTGGGAGGCCAGTAGAGGGCGTCTTGTTAATGTAGTCCGTGGTGTCCTTGAGATAGGATGGCAAATTCTCTACGTGTGGACGGAGATGTAAATCAATAAATTCAGAAATTTTCTCCGTGGGGTGTCCAATTGCGCTGACTATAAAAACCTGGCATGCCTTCTTTGTGTATTTTAGGAAGCAGATAGAATTGTCCTGGTCTACAATCAATAGGATTTAAGGTCTCATAGACGTTGATACCAATCTCATTTTTCTCAAACATATCGTCAAGAGATTTGGTAATGGCGGTGGAGAATTCTTTAGTGGGGTCAGAGTCCAGTTTCTTATAGAAACGTTCGTCTGAGAGTTGTCTTTGGGCCTCCGCCATGTAAGTCTCTTTATCCATTACTACAACTGTAGAACCTTTGTCTGCTTTCTTGATTACAATGTCATCCCGATTTTTTAATGATTGTAAGGCAGATCTCTCTTCCTTACTCAAATTGTCGGGAGTCTTGTCTGGCATTGAAAGGAGCTTCTCTATGTCTGACTCAACGGCGTCAATATACGACTCAAGCGCGCCGCACTTGCCCGGTGCAGGTTCCCAGTCACTCTTGGGTTTATAGAGTTTGTGTTCCTCTAGATCTTGTAAATCTGGCTTGGAAGAGTCGTATGAATTTACTTCGGAGTCTTTTCTAGAGAAGTGCTCCTTCAAACGAAGTCTCCGGAAGAATGCTCGGGTGTCCTCTCTGACTTGTTTTTCGTCGACCTCATGTGGCGTGGGGCAGAAATTTAGTCCCTTGGAAAGAAGTGAGGTCTCCGATTCGGAGAGAGGAGCACTAGATGTATTGAGCACTGGGCAGACGTCAGGAGTTTGTATGAGTCCGTTCCTCGCGATTGTCTTAATGCGTTTGAAGCGTCTCGAGCGGGGTTTGCGTGTCTTGTTAACTCTGACCTCTGACCAGTTGTTCCTAGACTGTGGAACACTGTCGCGGAGAAATTTCTTTTTTTGAGTCTTGTTGACTTTATTTGTTAGGGCCATATTATAGGTGTCTATAATATTATGGGCTTCATCAAGATCGGCCTGGGACATGATATCGTTGAGGGATGATTCTAAACTTGATCTCACTCTCCAATTGTCCTAACTTGTGGATATCCCAAGAAAGACAGAGTGACATCAATTGTTTAGAACATCTCCTTGTAATAACATCCCAGCGTTCCTGAAAGCGTTTGGAGATTGGCCCTATGTTAGGTGTAACATTTATCTGAAAGCCTTTCGGTATAATGTTACATTCTAAGTAGGTCTGTAAATTGGAGATCCGGTGTTCAGTTTTTATCGATTTTTGGTGTTCTTTCTTTAGAAGTTTAAATGTTGGGTTAAATAGCCATATTTGAAAGGAAATTACAATTGCCAAAATGATAAGACTACTTTTAAGTTTTTAGTCGTATGAAGTCGAAAGATTCAACGAACGATTGTTCTGTATTTTAAAGGAATTTGTAGATAACTCGTGCACGAATTCAAAAATTTTCAAAACAAACGGTACGTGAGTAAAATCGAAAGGGAAAAGTGGGAAGAACTTATTTGCAAAGGTTGGAATCAAAATAAATAGTAAAAAACGTCAAATAATGAAAGACATTACCAAAAATAAATGATAAGAACAGAGAATATAAATAAAGAAATGATGGATATACGGGTGGATCTGTGAAGATACAGTTGGCGAAAAAGGATATAAAAAGCACTAAAAAACCAACAACACTGTATATCCTAAATGTCGGATCTATCAAGTAGATACAAGATCACGGATGGAAATTTATATAAAGCACTAAAAATGACCAACTACACGAACAATAAAAATTGTCAAATTTTTCTTTGAATTCCCTTCCTCAGGACAAAGAAAAAAGTTAAAAAGTCATAAGAACAAAGGAAAAATAGAAACAAAAACAACTAGCTTATGACTTTTTAACTTTTTTCTTTGTCCTGAGGAAGGGACAGGGCTCTTCCAAAATTTGACAATTTTTATTGTTCGTGTCGTTGGTCATTTTTAGTGCTTTATATATATATATATATATATATATATATATATATATATATATATATATATATATATATATATATATATATATATATATATATATATATATATATATATATATATATATATATATATATAATAAATTTCAGTTAAAAATAAAAATAAATTCAGTTTTCGTACTTTGAACCATTTAAATGATGAGAGTGGACTTTGAACCATTAAATGATGAGGGTGGAAACACGTACCAAATGTTTTTTATTTGTCAATATTTATTTCTTTGTTTATTGGAAAGTTTTGGTATGTAATTGTGTATAAAAACACGAAAAATGGTCTATATATTGACAGCCCCCCCCCCCTTTGACTACAATAAAGGCAAGGTAACAAAATTTCATTCTAATTTTTCTTAGCATAATACATACAAATATATTTCCTAGAATTTAATTTTTTTTATCATGCCGTGTTCATAATTTTCTAACCAGATCGGGCCTCGTTAATGTTTTGAAATATGCACTAAGGTATTAATCAACAACATGATGAAATAAAATTTCCAAAATTTTGAAATATGTGGCCCCAGGATCAGTGGTTCCTGTGGGGTGGGGTGCACAACTGATAAAGGGGAAATTATGCATATTCTCTTTTTACTCTGATTTACCTCTGGGTATTAAGTATAAGAAAAGTAAGCATGCTAAATGTATAGTTATGATAAGCAATGGTGTCTCTTTCAAGATTGTGAATTTCATGGTCTCTCAGGGAATCAAATTCAATATGTTGGAAAGTTATTAAATGATACTCAGATGAACAATAAGGCCTGTGGGCCTCTTGTTACGAAAATATAATATTTATAAAGTTACATCAATAATATTAAATGAAATCTATCTGACCGGTTTTTCATAAGAAATATTTTGACATACAAAAGATAGACATAAAACCATTTATTTTAACAAAAACGTCATTGTCAACAACGGCAATCCTCGGCTGATTCGCTACGCTCCGAGTGTGCGAGGTACGAGCCATCCCAATGCATTGTCAACGAACTTTTTTGGACAAGCCCTCATAATATTCCTGCTATCATAATTTATATACGAGGGGTTATCAAAAATACGTGAATAAGCAATAAAAAAGCCTTTACATGTGCTCAAAAGCTGAACTAAGTCTAGTTTATAAAGATCGGGATCGTAATGTGAAATAATAATTTCAGAACGACAACTCGGTCAAGTAGAACCGACGGCGACGCGGCGACTGACTTTGAAGATTTAGAATTGAGTATTAACAAGCATCAAAGTCACTGTTGAAAGTATGTATAAGACTACAAATCATTGTTGAAAGCAATAATTTAGGGGTACGGGTAATGAGTTGTTAGTAAACAAAGGAAATTATTTTTTTTCATTTGTTTACGAAAACATAAACAAGGAACAAGGAAGTGATTTTGTAAACTGGACAACGCCACAGTTAAGGAACCCTATCTACACTGTACACTAAAGAGTTCTGATTCTATTGAACAACGCCACAGTTTAAGGAACCCTCTCTACACTGTACACTAAAGAGTTCTAATTCTATTGAACAACGCCACAGTTAAGGAACCCTCTCTACACCGCACACTAAAGAGTTCTGATACATTGGTATGGCCTAAAAAAAAAAAAGTTTGTTTCCTGTAACCCGACCGACCCATTCAAATTACCCCCGGGTGGATTTTTTTTTCTGACAAATGGCAAAACTTCGTTTGATCAATCAGCTGATTCCATTTATTAAAAAAAGAAAAAAATGTTTTAGAAGCCAGTAATTAGCTTGTAGCTTAAATTGAGACATTTTAGATATCTCAACCTAGATTATATTTACCCTAGTTATTAAGAGTAATCATTATTTTCTGACGTTCGTTTTCTGCCGCTTGGCAGCCATTTTGGATGCCATGTTGGGTGTCCACTGTAAATATGACACCTAGTATATTCAGTCTGGGGATGTTTGACCATTCATAAGCAAAAGAAAAAAAAATTCCGACCTACCGACCCTTAATTTTTTGGGAATGTTACAGGAAACAAACATATTTTTTTTTTAAGCCTATTGTAAACTGGACAACGCCACAGTTAAGGAACCCTCTCTACACCACACACTAAAGAGTTCTGATACAGTGGTATAGTAAACTGGACAACGCCACAGTTAAAGGAACCTTCTCTACACTGCACACTAAACAGAACTAAAGACTTTAGTAGCAATGCCCAAGCAAGGGGGAGATAACTTTCCAGATTCACTCAGCCTCGTTTTGATTCCGTATCGGAAAAGAGCTTGAAAAGTACGGCTTGATAAACTACTTTCCCTCTTGTTTTCAAATGTTTTGATGACCTTTCTGTAAAGTTAGTATTGGCAACCCTGAATGTTTGAAGTATGGCATAATTAGTCGTTTTAAAAATAGATTGAAAAATTAAAAATTCTCTAATTTTCATATACGGACGAGTAATTTGTCAAAACATGCACAAGTAGCTCCCTCTGTTATACCACTACAAATACATATCACATGCAGGCAAGTATTCAACCGTTCTTGTTATACCACTACAAATACATATCACATGCAGGCAAGTATTCAACCGTTCTTGTTATACCACTACAAATACATATCACATACAGGCAAGTATTCAACCGTTCTTGTTACATGTGTTATACCACTACAAATACATATCACATGCAGGCAAGTATTCAACCGTTCTTGTTATACCACTACAAATACATATCACATACAGGCAAGTATTCAACCGTTCTTGTTATACCACTACAAATACATATCACATGCAGGCAAGTATTCAACCGTTCTTGTTACATGTGTTATACCACTACAAATACATATCACATGCAGGCAAGTATTCAACCGTTCTTGTTATACCACTACAAATACATATCACATACAGGCAAGTATTCAACTGTTCTTGTTATACCACTACAAATACATATCACATGCAGGCAAGTATTCAACCGTTCTTGTTATACCACTACAAATACATATCAAATGCAGGCAAGTATTCAACTGTTCTTGTTATACCACTACAAATACATATCACATGCAGGCAAGTATTCAACCGTTCTTGTTATACCACTACAAATACATATCACATGCAGGCAAGTATTCAACCGTTCTTGTTATACCACTACAAATACATATCACATACAGGCAAGTATTCAACCGTTCTTGTTATACCACTACAAATACATATCACATGTTCTTGTTCGCCACACAAATTTTTCTAAGGCCGACTGGAGAAAATTCGGATCGTTCATATCCAGTATGGCAGCCAACACGTGTGTAGAAAAAATGTAAACAATGTGAATTGAACGTCTGGCGTTCTGTTTTCTTCATTGTCAAGGTGATACAATGTTATATTCTTGTTTTTGAACTATGCTGAAGCATTTTAATCATGAAAGAATCTGGGGGGGGGGGGGGTTAAGGCGAGTCATATGCCCACACAGATTTTGTCGCTCTGTAAGCATTTTGGAAAGTTCATAGTTGTACGATTTACCTAAACATTTAAACTTTGTACAGCACTGTCCAAATGACAATATTTATATGTTTACAGTATTTTTAACGTGATGATTTTCATATTGCGTGTTAATTGTTCTGTCAAAAAATTATGTCTTCAGGTTTGGGAGATGGTACGCTTTACCTTTCCTTTTAACTGTTTTTGCATACAGAACAGTCATATTGCACTGGCTACCCATGATTGAATTTGTTTACATTTTAATCGTGTAATGTACAGTAGTCTTGAACTAAATGCATTTAAAATGTTATATACACATGTAGCTTGAAAACTAGTATATTATAGGAAAAACATTAATTGACCATAAATGAATTCATCATCTTATCTATTCATTTTGTTTTTGTGAAAAAATATGTTTATCTAATTTTTAACCTGAACTTTAAAAAATCGTGATTCGAACACTCGCGACAGGTAACTGGATGCTTCATCTCAGCCGCTATGACTACTGAGCTACGAAGTCGCACAGAAATTTCCCTTTAAATAGCAAATAGTTCTATATGTATAGCAAACGCACAACTGGACTTAGAGTTTTTGAGAATATGTTGCGAAATTTAAGTAGGTAAACTAACTTTTTTATATAGAGTGGGTCTTTGTACCATTTTTTTGAAAATGTTGAGAGATACATCCTTCCATACCCTTTGAATATTTGTTTACAAAAAAATGGTACGAAGACCCACTCTATATAAAAAGCACAGTTTTAACATCCATTTCTATCATTTTTACGGTTACTAAAGCGTATTACCATTTTGGCAGGTTAATTACAATCAATTTGTAAGTAATTTGATTCAAGTTTTATCTTTACTGTATGCATATGGTTATAAATAACTCCCAAATTTAATAAAAAGTGGAATTTGCAAGATTTTATTTAATTGATATTTTACTTGCCCTTGCGTAGGCATATGACTCGCCTAATCCACCCAGATTCTTTCATTCAAAGGCTATTTCATGTGCAAAAACGAAAGTAGGGTTCATCTCAAAGTGAACAAGAATAAATTTAAAGATTGACTTACTTTGGTGAAGAAAACAGTGAAAGTCAAATAAAAACTTCATTATTAATCATACTTTGATTTTTATTGATAACTTTATTACTTTAACCAACAACACGAATAATGAGACATAAGCTATTCTGTATAAATAAGGAAAACAAAGGAAGACAACTCTTGCATTTTACATTCTGTGTCATATTTTCTTCTGTGCCTCAAAAGTGGCACGAGAATAGTATGAAATTTCAGGTAAAATTAACCAACTGGTACCTAGGTTATTTTCTAAAATTGTTTTGATCAAGCATTCCTGTAGTATCTGCTTTTAATTTGCTGATGTACACTTTCCAATCATTTTCCTCGGAAAGATGGATAACTCTGTAAGAATTCTGCATTTTTTAAACAATCATAAAAAGCTATATTTTCACCTGATTTAAGAAATGATTGCTGATATGGAATTAGTGGGTCATACTTTACACAATGTACATAAAAAACTGACAATTTTTTGACTCCTTAAAAATTATTGGGCATTGCTACTAAAGAATTCTGAAAACAGTGGTATTGTAAACTGGGCAGTGATAGCAATGCCCAATAATTTTTAAGGAGTCCAAAAAATGTCAGTTTTTTTATATCCATTGTGTAAAGTATGACCCACTGATTCATTTCTCAAATCGGGTGAAAATTAAGCTTTTTATGAATGTTTAAAAAATGCAGAATTCTTACAGAGTTATCCATCTTTCTGTCAGAGGAAAATGATAAGAAAGTGTACATCGGCTAATAAAAAGCAGATAATACAGGAATGCTAGATTTAAGAATATAACCTTGGTACCAGTTAGTTAATTTTATCTGAAATATCTTAATATTCTTGTGCCACTGCTGAGACACAGAAGAAAATTTGACATGGTTTGTAAAATGCAAGAGTTGTCTTCCTTATTTATATAGAGTCTGTCATTATGCATCTGTTCTGTTGTTTTTATAGTGTGAAACCTAATTATATTATAACAATTGGCAGAGGCAGCTGAATCCCTTCAGTTAACTTTCTGAGGACCTGGCAGGTTCAATATATACAAATATATGATTAAGCAATATATACAAATAAATGTTAGACTACTTGTTATTAATCAATTATGTACATCAAAGTGATGCTGGCTCTGAAGCAATCAGCTTTTACATGTACAGCTCGGCTCTTCTACTTGCTAGCTCTTACAACATGGCTCTTCGAGTTACTGGCTCTAACAGCTCAGCTCTTATAACATCGTTTTTAACCGGCTCTTATAGCTCAGCTCTTACTGGCTCCCCCAGTAGCTTTCTTGGTAATAAATAATATCTAAAGCCAGGAAAGACTTATTCAGTCACGTCTAAAGCTTTAATATTTTTATTCTTTTAAAAAAAATATTACCTTCTTATTATCAATTGATAGCCACTTGTGTTCTCACTTCTGCTTCAACTTTGCAACTAATTTAAATCCACCACTTCACCTGTATTTATAATCCCTGTGCCAAATGACGCCACCTAGCTGAACATTACTATAAAACAAGACTTTTCCTGGATTGTCTCAATTTTTAAAGTAATAAACTTGTCATTAAAAGTCAAAGTATGATTATAAATGAAGTTTTTATCTGATTTTCAAAGAAACTATCCAAGATATTTTTTATCAAACTTCATATGCTGATAGATATTGATGAGAGCTATGCAACTGCATCAACATTTTTTGACCTTGACCTTTCCTTTGACCTTGACCTCACTTTTCTGAAATTAGTGTTTAGCTCAGTTTTAAACATACCACAAGATGGTGTTATCAAACTTCACATGTTGATACATACTGATGAGAGCTATTCAACTGCATCAACATTTTTGACCTTGACCTTTCCTTTGGCCTTGACCTTACTTATCTTAAATTAGTGTTTTGCTCAGTTTTAAAGATACCATTCGAGATATTTTTATCAAACTTCAGATGCTGTTACATATTGATGAGAGCAATTCAACTTCATTAACATTTTTGACCTTGACCTTTCCTTTGACCTTTGACCTCACTTTTCCTAAATCACTGTCAAATTTCACATGTTAATACATAATGATGTTAGCAATTCAACTGCATCAGCAATTTTGACTTTGACCTTTTATTTGACCTTGACCTCACTTTTATCAAATTGTGTTTAAGTCAGTTTAAATTGAAGAGATCAATCTAGATATTTTTATTAAACTTCATATCTTGATACATATTAATGAGAGATATGCATCTGCATCAACAATTTGACCTTGATGTTTCCTTTGACCTTTGACCTCACTTTTCCTAAATCACTGTCAAACTTCATATGCTGATACATACTGATGTAAGCAATTGAACTGCATCAACAATTTTGACCTTGACCTTTTATTTGACCTTGACCTCTCTTTATCAAATTGCGTTTTTAAAAAACAGTTTTAAAGAAACCATTTATAATATTTTTTCAACTTCATATGCTGACACTTACTGATGAGAGCTGTTCAACTGAATCTACAGTTTTTAGCTCGCCTGAGCTGAAAGCTCAAGTGAGCTTTTCTGATCACCCGTTGTCCGTCGTCCGTCTGTCTGTCTGTCCATCCGTCTGTAAACTTTTCACATTTTCAACTTCTTCTCAAGAACCACTGGACCAATTTTAACCAAACTTGGTACAAAGCATCCTTGGGTGAAGAGGAATTTAAATTGTTAAAACCAAGGCCCGAGACCCCTTTCAAGGGGAGATAATCAAGAAAATACAAAAATAGTGTGGGGTCATTAAAAAATCTTCTTCTCAAGAACCACTGGGCCAGAAAAGCTGAAACTTATATGAAAGCATCCTGGGGTAGTGTAAATTCTTAATTGTTCAAGTCATGACCCCCGGTGGTAGGGCGGGGCCACAATAGGGAATCCAAATTTTACATACAAATACAGGTGACTCTCGATGGCTCGAACTCCGATCTCTTGAAGTTCTCGATCTCTCGAAGTGAACCTCCGGTCCCGTTTTTTTCCTCTATATAACTAAGGAAATTTACTCCTGATCTCTAGAACTTCTATCTCTCGAAGTTCTCTATCTCTCGAACCAAAACCTGGGTCCTGTTACACATATTTCATTGAATTGTTAAGTTTTGTTTGCGCATGTATACACGCCGATCAAGCGTTAAATTGAGCCTGGACTTACCTGGAAAACAGTAAACGCCTGGGGCTCGCATGGAGGTGTTAATTGGGTGTTTACATAGATGACACTACACCCGTGGGTCGTCCGTGTGTTGATATAATTAATTGGTTATTATTGGTAAATTATCAAAGAATTCACAACAGTTACTTATTTTGACTTGAAACAGAGACGATAATTTTTAGAAAATAAATGTATAGACGTACGTTTCAATAATAACCAATAGACTATGAACTTTGATTAGAGTCTACATAATACCAGTATGGCAATTACTGCAAAGAAATATCTTTCTCAAAGACTGAATACCGATTAAGAAAAATCTGGTGAACACTGGAGAAGGACCCAATCAAGCCGCGGAATAGCCAAACTGGGTATCATGTTATCGTGAAATAAGAACAAATAAATATTGCAACTTCAGGAATTTGTTGTATTTATTCGAAATACGATCATTGTTGTTGGTATCAAGTATATTACCTGTAAAATACGATTGAAAACGTGCAATAACTTTATTTACATATACTTCCGGTATCTATAATAGTAGAACATCGATGATCGGAACTGAAAATTCCGGATTTTATTTACTTTCTATCTCTCGAACCCCTCGATCTCTCGAATTTAGTGTATATTTAAAGAAGTTTGTTCAAATCATGATCTAAAATGGCTGACCAAAGTTTTACATAGAAATTGCGGTCCCTTGAACTTCGAGAGATCGAGAGTCACCTGTATATGGGAAAAAACTAAAAATCTTCTTCTCAAGAACCACTGCGCCATAAAAGCTGAAACTTATGTGGAACATCCTTGGGTAGTGTAGATTCTAAATTGTTCAAATCATGACCCCCGAGGGTAGGGCGGGGTCACAATAGGGAATCCAAGTTTTACATAGAAATATATAGGGGAAAACTTTAAAAATCTTCTTCTCAAGAAGCACTGGGCCAGAAAAGCTGAAACTTACGTGGAAGCATCCTGGGGTAGTGTAGATTATAAATTGTCCAAATCATGACCCCTTTGGGTAGGGCGGGGCCACAATATGGAATCTAAGTTTTACATAGAAATATATAGGGAAAAAACTTTTAAAATCTTCTTCTCAAGAAGCACTGGGCCAGAAAAGTTGAAACTTATGTGGAAGGATCTTGGGGTAGTGTAGATTATAAATTGTCCAAATCATGACCCCTGGTGGTAGGGTGTGGTCACATTTTGTATTACAAAGGGGGGATATCTGTTAAAGAACAGCATGGCCAAAGTTTCTCAGGTGAGCGATGTGGCCCATGGACCTCTTGTTTGACCTTGGCATTTCCTTTGACTTTGACCTCACTTTAATGAAATTAGTGTCAAACTTCATATGCTTATACATACTAAATAAATGTAAGCACTTCAACTGCATCACTATTCAAGATATTTTGATCAAATTTCATACATGTATACAAATTTTCATGTTGCTTTACTAATATACCCTCGGCGGGGCATTCATGTCCTCTGGACATACTTCTAGTTACCTTTATATCTAACAGGTTTGTGACAATCAGAAAGTAAATTAAGAAATGTGTTACAGTTTTTAGAGTATCAGACAACTTTTATCAATGCATCATGAAACATTTCCATCAATAATCTAAATTAAGCCATACTTCATGTATAACATTAGTCTTTAAAGACATTGAAGCTATACAGAAATATTTACTCATGGTACTGAGTTTGTTTTGACAGGTCTCCCAGGATGTGCTGTTTGACTATGTAAAGCTAAAGAAGAGGAAGAAATCACGGTTTTAACAGGTTTCAAAAATCTTTAGATTTTTAGCTCATCTAAGCCGAAGGCTCAAGTGATTTTCTGATCACATTTTGTACGGTGTCCATCTGTCTGTCTGTAAACTTTTCACATTTTTGACTTCTCAAGAACCACAAAGCATCCTTGGGTGACGGGGATTTAAGTTTCTTCAAATGAAGGGCCATGCCCTCATTCAAGGGGAGATAATTTGGAATTAAGGAAAATTTGGTGGGATGTTTTAAAAATCTTCTTCTTAAGAACCACTGTGCCAGGAAAGATGAAACTTATGGGAAAACATCCTCAGGTAGTGAAGATTCAAGTTTGTTCAAATCAAGACCCCGGGTGGTAGGGCGGGGCCAAAATGGCCGACCAAAGTTTTACATAGAAATATATAAGAAAATTCTTTAAAAATCTTCTTCTCAAGAATAACAAAGCCATAATTCATCAGATTTATATGGAAGCATCCTCAGGTAGTGTAGATTCCAAATTCTTCAAATCATGACCCCCGGGGGTAGGGAAGGGCCACAATGGTCGACCAAAGTGTTACATAGAAATATATAGGAAAATTCTCATCTTTTTAAGAATAGCAAAGCCATGACTGGTCATGGGACTACTTTTGGATTTAAACTTTTCAATAATAAACCAATTTGTATTTTTTCCTAGCCATAGTGCTCAGGTGAGCGATGTGGCCCATGGGTCTCTTGTTTAATATAAGGGGTTGGTATTTTAAAGACTTGACAAAATCCAGGTCTACATATCCATGAGTGATCTAAAATATATCATTAAATAACAGTAGTTTTCAAGACATTGAAGCTATACAGAAATATATACTCATTGTACTTTGTTGATTTTGACAGGTCTCCCAGGATGTGCTGTTGAAGTATGTAAAGCTTAAGAAGAGGAAGAAATCACCATTTTGACAGGTTTGACTAATGCCTAAATTTAGTTTGTTTAGCTCACCTGAGCCGAAGGCTCAAGTGAGCTTTTCTGATCACATTTTGTCTGGCATCCGTCTGTCTGTAAACTTTTCACATTTTCGACTTCTTTTCAAGAACCACTGGGCCATTTTCAACCAAACTTGGCACACAGTAACTTTAGATAAAGGGGATTCAAATTTGTTCAAATGAAAGGCCAGGCTCTCTTCCAAGGAGAGATAATTATGAATAAGCGAAAAATTAATTGCATCTTTTAAAAATCATCTTCATCCATGGGCCTCTTGTTTAATATAAGGGGTTGGTATTTTAAAAAATTGACAAAATCCAGGTATACATTTCCATGAGTAATCTAAAATATATCATTCAATAACATTAGTTTTCAAGACATTGAAGCTATACAGAAATATATAATCATTGTACTGAGTTTATTTTGACAGGTCTCCCAGGATGTGCTGTTGAAGTATGTAAAGCTAAAGAAGAGGAAGAAATCACCATTTTGACAGGTTTAATTAATGCCTAAATTAAGTTTTTTGGCTCACCTGAGTCGAAAGCTCAAGTGAGCTTTTCTGATCACATTTTGTCTGGCATCCGTCTGTCTGTTAACTTTTCACATTTTTGACTTCTTCTGAAGAACCACTGGGCCAATTTCAACCTTGGGTGAAGGAGATTCAAATTTGTTCAAATAAAAAGCCAAGCCCTCTTCCAAGGGGAGATAATTATGAATTAGTGACAAATTAATTGCATCTTTTAAAAATCTTCTTCGCCAAAACCCTTGGGCCAGGAAAGATGAAACTCATGTTGAAGCATCCTCATGTAGAGTAGATTCAAATTTTTTCAAATCATGACCCCCAGGGGTAGGGCGAGGCCACAATTGACGATTAAAGGTTTACATAGGAATAAATACATTGGAAAATCAAATTTTTTAAAACTCTTCTTTTTAAGAACAATAAAGCCATGATTGGTCATATCTTTATGTAAGCATCCTTACTTAGTGTTGATTCAAGTTTGTTTAAGTCATTTATGTGAAGTAGGGGGTAGGTAGGGTGGGCCACAATTGGAAATTTATAAGTATCAAGGAATTTTTTTTCCCAAGAACAGAAATGCAATGTTTAATCATATAGATATGGAGGCATCCTCAGATAGTAGAAAGTCATACTTGTTCAAATGAGGGCTACCACGGTTAGGACTGGGTCACAATGGGGGGGGGGGGTCAAATGAATAAATAGGGAAAAATCATCTGCTCAAAAACAGAAAAATTGCATTTGTTGTATGGAAGCATCATCGGGTAGTTGGTAGTTTAAAATTTCAGACCCCCCCCCATCTAAATTTAAACTACTCAATACTGAACTGATTTCTCCAGTCCTTCGGATGATACCATATAAACCAAGGTCCCGTGTCACAGCAGGTGTGGCACGATAAAGATCTGTCCCTGCTCAAAGGCCGTAAGTGCCGAGCATAGGCTAAAATTTGCAGCCCTTCACCGGCAATGGTGACATCTCCATATCAGTGAAATATTCTGGAGAGGAACATTAAACAGTATACAATCAATCAATCAATCTTAGCCAGTGTGCTCAGATTAGCGATGTGGCCCATGGGCCTCTTGTTATAACTGTGTTAAAATACACAGTAATCATACCTATCTATCATGATCTATATATCTTAAAGTTACCATAGAACTTTCCTATTTAACATTTATTGTAATATTTATGAATTAGTAATGGTAGGAATGCAGTTTTTATCATGATTTTTCTTCTGTGAATTACAAAGTTTACACACAGAATTGTAAATACAATGTTATAGAATGTCAGGTTTTAAATGACTAAGACTAGTGTTAACATCTATAAGAATCTGAACAGTATGTCACAATTTATATGTGTTTTAATTATAACTATTGCTTTGTTAGACAGGTTTAATTGAGAACACTTGGAGGCTGCAGTGAATGAAGACAAAGCATTGAGAAGCAAGTGTCAAGGTATTTATGTTTATCTGGTAATTCTAATTTAAAATTGTTTAACACTATATAAATGGTGCCTGATTTGGAGGGTAACATTTGAAATTGACACCCCAAGGAAAACCATTGTCAACCGACGCGTCAGCGGAGGTTGAAATGATTTTCCGCTCAAAGGGTAAGTGCAATTTCAAAATGTGAACCCTCCAAATCAGGCACCATTTATTTTATTATACTGAATGTCTTATTGATTTAGGACGTCAGCGAAAAAAAACCGTCGATCGTCTTTACGCTCATGCATAGAAAGCTTTCACACTCACCGGTTCACTAATCTCCTTATTGTTTGTTTGATACTCGAATTAGAGTCATTTATCATATAAAGTTTCGTTATTTCTGGCTCGCAAGCATGTTTCCTACACTCGCAAACATGTATCGTCTGTCGTTTGTTGTTTTCAAGTAAGCTATATCGGATGCAAGCTTTTATTGACGTCAAGTTTTTTTTCTTCTTTCAAACGCGCAACTGAACGTTTTGTATACAATTCTACGTTGAATGTGCCATACGCGTTTTTATAATTTTCACGCATGTGGCATTACCGTTACTGTGAACTGTTACCCACTTTATTGAATACGTGTGTATGCTTTTAATTTTATCATGATTTTTCTATTGCTCAGGGTAATGAAAATGATTTCATGTTAACTCGTCTAAACCAACACTCAGATTAATTATAACTATTGTAGAGAACACTATGCTATGAATGAAGACAAAGCATTGTAGAAGCCAGTGTCAAGGTATTTATGTTTATCTGGTAATTCTATTTAATTGTTTAACACGGTATAAGTTCTTAAAACCAAAACATTTTACAATGAGTACATTTGTTATTTATAAACAGAGATGTGTTCCTGATGTAGATAACTATAACACAGTGTTGTAATTTACAGAGAGATCTCCCTGACTGAAATCAACACAGAATTATAAAGTCACAGGAAAAAGAAGTCTGGTGTCAGTCATGTATACAGCAGTATTACAGAAATCTGTCAGAGTGAGAGGTGTTAGTCAGTGTAAACACATTACCCTCGTGACATCAGACCGGGTCTGGATCAGTGATTATAATGGCAATTTAATCTTAACAAACACGAGAGGTGACATTCTAGATAGTGTGACGGATTTACTTAGACATGGTTCTGGAGTACATACTGTGACTCAAAATGGTGATGTGATTTATATAGACAGACATAGTAACATCATAAAACGATCTAAAGATAAAGTAAAGACCAGAGTGATACCATACACATCACCATGGGTACCATACTGTGTCTACAGCTCCCCCTCCACTGGAGACCTGCTGGTCGGGATGTATAGATATACTGATACAGATACAGGCCAGGTTAACCGTTACAATAACACAGGAGAACACATACAGACCATACAGCACGACTACACAGGTCAGGGACTGTATAGTAATCCTCTATACATCACAGAGAACCGCAATGGAGATGTTATTGTGTCTGACTTTCGTTATATTGGTGTTGGTGCTGTAGTGGTGACAGACAGAAGAGGGAGACATCGCTTCTCCTACACACGTACTCCATCAGGATCAAGACTACGACCATGGGGAATCTGTACTGACGCGCTGTCACACATCCTGCTGTGTGATGGTAACACCAACACAGTACATATCATTGATAAAGATGGTAACTACCTGACACAGTTAGATACAGTACAACACAGGATAGACTGGCCATCCTGCCTGAGTTATGATGACATCACCCGGTCTGTCTGGGTAGGATCATACCGCCACAACACCGTGAAGATCTACAGACTTATCTATGGAGGGGATAATCTGACTGGTAAGTAACACAGAAGTATTATTATATGTTTGTTTACAATGTTTAGTGTGTATAATATAGTATAGTCATTGTTTTATGTGTAATCATAGTGATAACTTTTAAGTGTAAATACATTACATGGTAAATTGAATTCTAACTTGTGTTATGTAACAAGAAATGTTTTTTAAAAAAGGATATTAATTGATAAGTTGTCAAATTAATAATGATTTGATTTTCATATTAGATTTAATGAGACATATTAGAGTTTTTTGAATGTATACTTAGTTGTTAACTTTGTTGTCTTTGAGAAACAATTCCTGAATTTGTACAGATTGTCTAATGATTTGTTAACTTGGTTAAATAACTCTCATTGATTCTGTCTTCTATTTGGGTTGACATGATATTTTTATATTCCTCTGCTAAATGGTTTGTAGGTTAAATTTATAGATCACTACAAATGTCAGGAAATGGAAAAATAATTGTACAATTGGGGTTCATGAGTGTTGGAGGGGGGGGGGGGTAATGTCATAGACCTTATCATTAGATAATATATACTTTGAATACATCATACAATGTGTTAAAACAAAGTTCAATCACAGTGACTACAAACATTTTGTACAGTATTGACAGTGAGATATAGACACCATTGATATTAACACAGCTCTGTCTAGGAATGTTGTGTATTTCTGTAGCAGGTGTTCAGTAAATCTACACTGTGTACTGGGGTGACATTTTACATGTATATTACATGGAGATTTTATGGTTAAAATGAAACCAATGCCAGAATTATAGAGTCATATCAGTGTAACCCGCCCCCCCCTCCCACCCCCAACTTCACCACACACACACACCCTCTCACCCTCTCCCTTCCTCACACACACAATTTTTGGGGGTAGGTTTGGGTGGGAAGGAGGTGTCACACGGTGTCTCACTTTATCATGCTATTTAATCTTTTTCTTTTAGTACTGTTTTAGTGAAAAAACCCTTTTTGTTCTGTATTTACACAATGCATTATGTTAAAAAGTGAATAATTCTCAGGAACAAAAATGAAAGAAAACAAGCAATTGTGATTTGATGTGGCCCCTGGGCCTCTTGTTAAAACTTCTTAAGGTTGATAAGATGACGCAGTTAGTTTTTAGCTCTACTGGTCAGAGACCAGAAGAGCTTATGCGATAGTAATGCGTCCGGCGTCCGTTCGTCTGTCTAGCTGTCCGTCTGTCTGTAAACAATTTTTCAAAATGCTACTCCTCCTACAGTTTTGGTCTGATTTCAATATAACTTGGCAGTTTTTGACAAGTAAATTCCATAATGCTACTCCTCCTACAGTTTTGGTCTGATTTGAATATAACTTGGCACACAAGTAGACTACACTAAGATACATAATTCTGTTTATTGGTTTTTGATTTCGGTATACATAATTCTGTTTTGGTCTGATTTCAATATAACTTGGCACACAAGTAGACTATACACAATTCTGTATATCATTTTTTGGTTTTTGATTTAGAATTTCTGAAATAAAAGGTGTTGCCATGGTATATGGTTTTTGATTTCGACCATAAAAATAGAAATTTCTGTGAAATTCCTTTAAAATGCTACTTCTCCTACAGTTTTAGTTTGATTTCAATATAACTTGGCACACAAGTAGACTACACTAAGATACACAATTCTGTATATCGTTTTTTTATTTCGATAAAAGGTGTTGCCGTGGTAACTAAAAATAGACATTTCTGTGAAATTCTTACGAAATGCTATCCTCTTACAGTTTTGGTCTGATTTCAATATAACTTGGCACACAAGTAGACTACACTAAGATACATAATTCTATATATCGGTTTTTGATTTCGATAAAAGGTGTTGCCATGGTAACTAAAAATAGACATTTCCCTGAAATTCTTACAAAATGCTACTCCTCTTACAGTTTTGGTCTGATTTCAATATAACTTGGCACACAAGTAGACTACACTAAGATACATAATTCTACATATCGGTTTTTGATTTAGGTGAACGTTGTTGCCATGGTTACTAAAAATAGAGATTTCTGTAAAATTGTTTCAAAATGCTACTCCTCCTAAAGTTTTGGTCTGATTTCAATATAACTTGGCACACAAGTAGACTGCACTACGATACATAATTCTATACATAGGGTTTGATTTCAATGAAGGATGTTGCCATGGTTACTAAAAATAGAAATTTCGGTGATTTTTTTTCAAAATGCTACTCCTCCTACAGTTTTAGTCTGATTTGAATATAACTTGGCACACAAGTAGATAACACTAAGATACATAATGCGGTGTATTGGTTTTTGATTTCAATGAACGGTGTTGCCGTGGTAACTAAAAATAGAAATTTCTGTAAAATTGTTTCAAAATGCTACTCCTCCTACAGTTTTGGTCTGATTTCAATATAACTTGGCACACAAGTAGACTACACTAAGATCCATAATTCTATGTATCTGTTTTTGATATCGATGAATGGTGTTGCCGTGGTTACTAAGAATAGAAATGTCTGTAAAATTGTTTCAAAATGCTTCTCCTCCTACAGTTTTAGTCTGATTTCGATATAACTTGGCACACAAGTAGACTACACTAAGAACATAAAGAGATTTTATCAAGGATCATTATTCTATTTATTGCTGTTGTTAAGTTTCAATTCCCAACTGCTTAAGTACTTTTCTCTTCCTTTGCTATAAGTACAAACCAGTAGAGCTTCAGTCTCGATAGAGACTTCTGGTTTATTAGCAGAATAGCTCACCTGAGCCGAAGGCTCAAGTGAGCTTTTCTGATCACATTTTATCCGGCGTCCATCTGTCTAGCTGTCCGTCCGACTGTAAACTTTTCACATTTTCAACTTCTTCGTAAGAACCACTGGGTCAATATTAACAAAGCTTGATACAAAGCATCCTTGAGTGATGGGGAATTCAAATTGTCAAAATGAAGGGCCAAGTCCCCTTACAAGGGGAGATAATCAAGAAAAGATGAAAATAGGGTGGGGTTATTAAAAATCTTCCTCTTAAGAACCACTTGGCCAGAAAAGTTGAAACTTATGTGGAAGCATCCTGGGGTAGTGTAGATTCTAAATTATTAAAACCATGACCCCCAGGGGTAGGATGGGGCCACAATAGGGAATCTAAGTTTTATATAGAAATATATAGGAAACATCTTTAAAAATCTTCTTCTCAAGAACCACTGGGCAGAAAACCTGACACTTATGTAGAAGCACCCTGGGGTAGTGTAGATTCTAAATTGTTAAAACCATGACCCGGGGAGGGGGACCACAATAGGGAATCCAAGTTTTACATTGAAATATGTAGGGAAAATCTTTAGAAATCTTCTTCTCAAGAACCAATGGCAAAGAAAAAATGAAACTTGTGTGGAAGTATCCTTGGGAAATGAAAATTCAAAACTATTAAAATTATGACCCCTGGGGATACTAAGGGCGGGGTCACAGTAGGGGATCCTAGTTTTACATAGAAATGCATACGAAAAATTCTCTAAAAATCATTTTCTCAAGAATCAACAGGCCATAAAAGCTGAAACTTGTGTTGAAGCATCATGGGGGTAGTGTTAATTCTAAATTGGCAAAATCATGACCCCCGGGGGTAGGGCGGGTGGTGCCACATTGACACAATAGGGAATCCACGTTTAACATAGAAATATATAGAAAAAAAAATTAGAAATTTTCTTTCCAAGAACCACTGAGCCAGTAAAGCTGAAATTTATACGGAAGCATTCTGGGTAGTGTTGATTCTACATTTTTAAAATCCTGACCCCGGGGAGGGGGAGGATATGGCCTCAATATGTATTACAAGGGGGGGGGGATTCTGGTTGAAAAAAGGCATCTCCAAAGTTACTCAGGTGACTCATGTCACCCATGGACCTCTTGTTTCATGTGTAAAAGACATAACTATTTTTCTGCTACAAAAGTAGTATTTTATTATCTATGTTTGTAAACTTTAAACAGAGGAATTAATTTTTTTTTGACAAAAAATGTTTAATTTTGTCACAACTGACCTCAAGTTGTGATGGGTTCTTTAAATTTGTATTAACAACCCAAAACAAATAATATTTTGGATGACCTTCTGTTCACCAAGAAATAACAAGATTCATAATAATTAACAATAAATTTATCTACATATGTACAATAAACATGAAAACGGCGAAAAGTTCAATCATGGTCATCACTGGACAGATTCACACTTCACACCACGTCGCAATGTATGGTCCACCATATTGTCCCTTCGGGTCCATCATATCCTAAAAGTAGCCTCACCACATACACCAATCCTCCCGTCCAGAACAAAAGCTTAATATACAATTTTGGTCACCTACAATTTTCATAGGGTTTTCTAATAAAATATTCAAAACACACATCTGTTCAATATACTAGATTTTACAAACAAATTACAGAAGAATATATTTTTGCCGTTTAACAAGTAAATGAATTAGAGCATATTAAATATATACATACTCGCTATATTGCTAACAGTTTTCCAAAGAAAATTGCTCTTTAAAGCGATCAACAAAAATATTACAAAGTGTAAAAACTTACTGAGCTGTGGCATTTTATACATAAAAATCATACTGTCGGCCCCCAGGTCTTGCTCTCAACACTGCTACAAAACATCCCTGAATCCCAAGATCACACAGCGGGGAACATAACACACCCAAGTTCACACAGCATGGGTAATATAAAAGGCACACCCACGATCACTCAGCATGGGTAAAGTATAACTCCCGGCGTCCAGACCTCATCTGACAAACACTAGCCAACACCCAGCAGTATAAATAACTGACCATACTACTCAAACGGGCTTGACGAGTATACGTTGATAAAAATAGAACAAGTACAACTCAGTGACCAATAGTGCGTAAACGAAATAAACGATAACTCCTAATGCCCAAATAAAGATAACTCTTACCAATACCTGTACAATAAGCTAATATTAATTATTAAACATTGACACAATGTCACTTGTGACAAATTTCAATCCTTGTTCATAGCCCATGACGTAAATCATACGACCAAAGCCATAATACCAGATAATACTCTGAGACTGATTTAGAAAGATAAGATATGAAAATAACAGATCTAGAGTATTGATACATATTTTTTTATCCTTGAACACCTGTAAAGTGCATTAAAACAAAATTCAAATTCTGCTTCATGTATTTGTTCTGATGTCCATTCTGAGAACATGACTGTTTTTGTTATAGATCCAAGCAGTGATGATATAAATAAAGTGAATGAGTTGAAGAAGTTTCTGAGAAAGGAGAAGACAACTGTTTCCCATGCTAGAGGAATACTTGTTGGATGTGCTGAGGCTGGAAAAACGACACTACTGAAGAGATTAAGAGGGCAACATCACAATATCAGCGAAATTACAGAGTCCACGAGGGGACTTGAACTCCATCAACATCTCTTTATTGTTAGAGATGGAATTCTGGAAGGTAAAAATAAATTCTGATACATATTCATAGCATAAATGACAGACAGGTCACTTTTTCATCAGAAGAAGCAAACTTTAGTTTTTAAAGCCCACCTAAGCTGAAAGCTAAAGTGAGCTTTTCTGATCATCCATTGTCCGTCATCCGTCCATATGTAATCTTTTTTATTTGGAGGTGTGAGCATCCCCTGCTGACCGATCACATCTGCTGTGTGCTCCTTGTCATGATCAGGAAATGTCAGAAAAATTCATCGTCAATTCAGTGTATAAATAATGGAGTAACAATTAGTATGAAAAACATCAGTCAGCATTTGTCTCCATGAAAAATTGTATTTGCTGACAAGGTCAAGGTAATGACCATAGAACTTATGAAATGATGACTTTAAACAGAGAGATTGAATTGTAAAAATTAAGGGCCATGTCCTCATACAAGGGGAGATAATCAATGAAAGACAAAAATAGGCTTCAGTCATTATAAAATCTTCCCAAGAACCATTGCGTCAGAAAAGCTGAAACTTACGTGGAAGCATCCTGGGGTAGTGTAAATTCTACATTTTTTAAATCATGACCTCCAGGGTGTAGGGTGGGGCCACAATAAGGAATCCAACTTTTGCATTGAAATATCTTTACATGTATATAGGAAATTCTTTTAAAATCTTCTTCAGAGCCACCTGAAAAGAAAGGCTGGAACTTATTTGGAAGTATCCTGATTCCTCTGGTAGTGCACATTCTAAATTGTTCAAATCATGACCCCGAGGGGTAGGTGGGGCAACAATAAGGAATCCAAGTTTTATATTGAAACAAATACTAGAAAAAATCTCCTTCTCAAGAACCACTTAGCCAAGAATGATGAAACTCATTAGGAATCATTCTTAAGTGGTGTACATTCAAGTTTGTTCAAATCATGACTCCTGAGGGTAGGCTGGGGCCAATATGGCTGATCAAAGTTTTACATAGGAGTATATAGAAAAAAAATTTAAGATATTTAAAAAAAAAACATCTTCTCAAGATTTGCAAAGCTATGATTGGTGTTGATAATATTGATGCATCTTCAGATGGTGTAAATTCAAGATTGTTCAAATCATAAGGCCAAAGGCTAGGGTGGGGCAAAGATGACGGATTAAAGTTTTACATAAAATAGAGGTAAAAAATCTTTACAAGAACAAAAATCTATGTTTAGTCATACTGACATGTAAGCATCTTCATGTAGTGATTATTTAAATTTGTTCAAATCATTGTAACCCTTGTTTTCCCCAAATATTAACAACAAAGATTTAAAGCTTAGGTTCTTTGAAGGATTTTATTAGCTCTTCTGAGCCAAAGGCTCAAAGAGCTAATGCTATGGCCATTTGTGCGGTGTGCGTAAACTTTTTAGAATATGGGCCATAACTCAAGAACCCCTTGGCCAATCAGTACCAAATTTGCTACAGGGTATCCTTGGCCCAAAGGCTACCATTTATACTAAAATAAGGGTTAGGACCCTTAAACAAGGGGAGATAATTAGGAAAACAAAACCAAAAGTACTGGTTGCTAAAAAATCTTCTTCTCCATAACCACTAGGCAGATTTTCACCAAACTTACAAACAAGGATCAGGATATGTCGAAAATTAAAATTTTCACGGGTAATTACCCTGGGGCAAAGGGCGTGGTCTCAAGGTCACTTCAAAGTTGACAAAAATTTACAATTAATAAAAACGTTGATATTTTGCTTACTATAAAGACTAGGATCATCAAATCTTGTAAGTTGATGCATCTCAGGACTTCACATCATGTTAATACAAAAGTAGGTCATGGTGACCTACTTTTTAAATTTTACGGGCTTTTGTTTTCAAATTGATTTTGAGGCATATTTTGGACACTTTAAAGCCTATGATCATCAAACTTTGTCAGTTGATGCATCTTGGGTCCTCAAACAATGTCAACTTAAAAGTAGGTCACCGTGACCTACTTTTTGAACTTCATGACTTATCCTTTTAAAAACATTAAATCCCATTATTTCAGACACTGGGAGGTTTAGAATCATCAAATCTAGTACTTTGATGCATCTTGGGACCTTAAAACATATTTATGAAAAAGCAGCTCACTGTGACCTACTTTTTGAATTTTGCCGACATTTGTTTTCAAATTGTTTAAAATCTTGTAAGTTGATGCATCTCAGGACTTCACATCATGTTAATACAAAAGTAGGTCACGGTGACCTACTTTTTAAATTTTAAGGGCTTTTGTTTTCAAATTAATTTTGAGGCATATTTTGGACACTTTAAGGCCTATGATCATCAAACTTTGTCAGTTGATGCATCTTGGGTCCTCAAACAATGTCAACTTAAAAGTAGGTCACCGTGACCTACTTTTTGAACTTCATGACTTATCCTTTTAAAAACATTAAATCCCATTATTTCAGACACTGGGAGGTTTAGAATCATCAAATCTAGTACTTTGATGCATCTTGGGACCTTAAAACATATTTATGAAAAAGCAGGTCACTGTGACCTACTTTTTGAATTTTGCCGACATTTGTTTTCAAATTGTTTAAATCGCATATTTTGATTACCTTCAGACCTACGATCATCAAACTTGGTCAGTAGATGCATCTTAGGTGTTTAAAAAATGTCAACCAAAATTTAGGTCACGATGACCTACTTTCGACATTTCATGGCTATATTTAAGTATCTTAGGTATTTATTGGCTTAGAATTATCAAACTTTGTGAATGGATACATCTTTGGTTTTCGGAGAGTGACGACGTAAAAGTAGGTCATGTTGACCTACTTTTGACATTTTATGGCTTTATTCAAGTATCTCAAGTACTTATTGGCTTAGAATCATCAAACTTTGTGAGTTGATGCATCTTGGGTTTTTGGAGAGTGACGACCAAAAAGTAGGTCATGGTGACCTACTTTTGACATTTTGTGGCTATAATTATGTATCTCTGGTACTTATTGACCTAAAATCATCAAACTTTGTCAGTTGATGCTTCTTGGGTTTTTGGAGATTGTCGACCAAAAAGTAGGTCACTTTTGACATTTTATGGCTATATTTAAGTATCTCAGGCACTTATTGGCTAAGAATCATCAAACTTTGTTAGTTGAGGCATCTTCGGTTTTCGGAGAATGTCAACCAAAAAGTAGGTCACGGTGACCTACTTTTGAATGTCTCAGGTACTTATTAGCTTAGAATCATAAAATTTTGTCAGTTTAGGCATCTTGGGTTCTTGGATAACGTCGACCAAAAAGTAGGTCACCGTGACCTACTTTTGACATTTGATGGCTATTTTAATTATTTTAGGTATTTATTCTGGTACTAATTGGCTTACAATCGTCAAACTTTTTCAGATGATGCATCTTGGGTTTTCAGAGAATGTTGACCAAAAGTAGGTCATGATGACCTACTTTTGAATATCTCAGGTACTTATTTAACTAGAATCATCAGTCTTTGTCAATTAATGTATCTTGAGTCCTCAGAAAATTTCAGTCAAAAGGTAGGTCACTGTGACCTACTTATGGTATTTTATAATTGGCTAAATATTATCAAACTTTGTAAGTTGATGCATTTTGGGTCTTATGATACTAATAGAGTTGGAGGCTTCTAATAGAAGTGATAGATTGTACAATTTATCAGAAGAGCGATTCAAGGCCCTTGGGCTTCTTGTTTAGATAAGCATTATATAACCCTGTAAGAAAAATGTTTAAAATCAGCACATGTTATATTGTAGGGTTAACCGTTATTGAACTTATATTGGTGAATATTGGCACGAGTTGGTTGTACAAATGCACGAGCTTGCGAGTGCTTTTCTACAGCCATTGAGTGCAAATATTCACCAATATAAATTCAATAACTCCTTTATTATTAACTTAAACATTTCCTGAAATTTTATCATTATTATTCAACTTAAAAAACTCAACTTAATGATTTTTTAGCTCACCTGAGTCGAAGGCTGAAGTGAGCTTTTCTGATCAAAATTTGTCCGTTGTCTGTCGTTGTCGGCGTTGTCGTCGTTAACTTTTCACGTTTTCATCTTCTCAAAAACCACTGGGCCAATTTCAACCAAACTTGCCACAAAGTAATCTTAGGTATGGGGGATTCAAGTTTGTTCAAATGAAGGGCCATGCCCTTTTCCAAGGGGAGATGATTATGAATTAGAGAAAAATTAATGGCATTTTTAAAAAATCTTCTTCTCAAGAACCACAGGGGCAGGAAAGATGAAACTCATGTGGAATCATCCTCAGGTTCTGTAGATTCAAATTTATTCAAATCATGACCCCCGGGGCTAGGGTGGGGCCAAAATGGCCGATCAAAGTTTTACATAGGAATAAATAGGAAAAATCTTTAAAAATCTTCTTCTCAAGAACCAATTCTTAGATTCAATTTTGTGTGAATCATGACCCCCAGGGATAGGGTGGGGTCAAACTGGCCGATCAAAGATTTCATAGGAGTGAATGGGAAAAATCTTTAAAAATCTTCTTCTCAAGAACCACTTGGCCAGGAAAGACGAAACTCATAAGGAATCATCCTCAGGTACTGTAGATTCAAGTATGTTCAAATCATGACCCCCAGGGGTAGGGTGGGGCCAAAATGGCTGACCCAAGTTTTACATAGGAATATATAGGAACAATCTTTAAAAACCTTCTTCTCAAGAACTACTGGGCCAGGAAAGATGGAACTCATGTGGAATCATCCTTAGGTAGTGTAGATTCAAGTTTGTGCAAATCATGACCACCAAGGCTAGGGTGGGGCCAAAATGGCCGACCCAAGTTTTACATAGGAATATATAGGAAAAATCTTTAAAAATCTTCTTCTCAAGAACCACTGGGCCAGGAAAGATGAAACTCATGTGGAATCATCCTCAGGTAGTGTAGATTCAAGTTTGTTCAAATCATGACCCCCTGGGGTAGGGTGGGGCCAAAATGGCCGATCAAAGTTTTACAGAGGAGTATATAGGAAAAATTTTCTTCTCAAGAACCACTGGGCCAGGAAAGATGAAACTCATGTGGAATCATCCTCAGGT